GGGACTCTGTCGCCACCCCCAGTTTCCAGCAGCCCCTTGGAGACATTTCCAGCATCCAGGACCCAGTGGGGGGGGTGGGGGCTTGTCACCTCACAGAGCCATCTTTCGAGGCCGGGTCTTGGGGGCTGGATGTACATATGCTTAGAAATGTGAGAGGACAAAACGGCAAAGCCGCAGTGATGAGCGGGGGCGCTCTCTGGATTCGGAGAGGACGCTGGACTGTCCTGTGCCACACACATGACACGTGCAGGTCTTCTTAACCCCTCCCACCCCTCCTCCCCCCTGCGTGATTGGCAAAGACAGAACAGCGCTTTTGTTTCCGAATTTATATAATGCTGTTGCCCCTGTGTTACTGTAGCCACGAGCTAACATAATTTCATCTTTTTATGAGTTATATTCATAATCTGAATAATTCAACAGCGACGGCATTTTCTGGTGCCAAATTGGGCTCTCCCTGCCAACTGCCACCTTGCGTCTCTGTGTTTGCGTGTCCGTGTTTGCGTGTCCGTGTTTGCGTGTCCGTGTTTGCGTGTCCGTGTTTGCATCTCCATGTTTGCGTGTCCATATTTGCGCGTGTGTGTTCACGTCTTCCATGTTTCCATCTCTGTGTCTGCGCCTCCGTGTCTGCGTGTCTGCGTGTCTGTGTTTGCATGTAGGTGTTTCCATCTCTATGTTTGCGCGTGGCGTCCATGTTTGTGCGTCCATATTTGCACGTGTGTGTTCGCGCATACGTGTTTGCATCTCCGCGTTTGCGTCTCCGTGTTTGCGTTTCCATGTCTGCGTGTCTGTGTTTGCATGTATGTGTGTTTGCCTCTCTGTATTTGTGTCTCTGTGTCTCCGTCTGTGTGTTCCGTGTTTGCGTCTCTGCGTTTGTGTGCTGGGTGCTCCTTGTGTTACGGAGGTGCCGCATCCCCCCTCCTCCCCCCCCCCCATGCTGCATATGACATTTGCTGTCCAACACACTGCTACAGGGGGCCTAAGGAAGTTCTAGTCCTTTCCATGGTCTTCGGACAGGCCAAAGGGAGTGAGGGAGTTCATCTGTGGGTTGCCAAAATCGCCTGGCCCCGACAAGCCCGACGCTCCCTCTCCCCACCTCCCAGTTCCAGAGGAGGCTGTGCTGAAGCCGCTGTGTATGGTGTTTGTATTTATAGTGTGTGGTGCAGGTCTTTCCTGTGCACTGCTGTTCACACCCCCTCAGGCAGCGGTTGGAGAGGCAGTAATCACATTATAATTACGCTGAGCGGCTCACCCTAGTTGTCAGCTAACTTACACGCAGGTTATGCCGAGTGTGGGCTGCCATGGCTGCCGCTGCTTTGTGTTAATGTGTGTGTGTGTGTGTGTGTGTGTGTGTGTCTGTGTGTGTGTGTCTGTGTGTGTGTGTTTTTGTTTGGTTTTTTTTCCTACCTAAAGGGGAAATTACATAAGAATCCTCCGTTGTCTCTCGCTCGCTCCATTCCCCAGTCTTCACACACACACATTCGCTCTCTGTGACACACACACACACACACACAGTAACCTTCCCATCCGCTTGCCATCACCATAACAACTGTGCAGCGCCGGTCTCTCTGCCGCAGCAAGGTGGGCCGGGGCGTGCTCGGTGGGAAGGGGGTCCGGATTCTGCGTGGGTCAAGTTTGGATGGGGGGGGGGGGTACCCAAATACTGAGGTTTGATTTTCTGGAACATTCCACAGTGAGATCTGATGACCTGGGAGTGTCTTGTATTTTTTTAATGCGACGTCTGCAGCGTGTCGAGTCTCCCAGCTGGGGAGAGGTATCCATGCGTCGTGCGCTCTTACAGCATCTGCAAGGCCGTGGTTTAATCTCTGTCATTAAGTAAGTGCTCGCCATTCACACAATATTAGTGTCCTACATACAGCAGTTCGCCCAGGAGAACGAGGCAGAGAGATAACTGTAATCCGCCCTGTCATACAGCAGACGCTTTATACCAAATGAGAGTTTATCCACACAAACGGAGTTTAACACCAGCATCTGTATTCAGAGTCATTCCTCCAAAGCTGTGCCCCCCCCCACACCCACATCTATTGTATGTACGAAATCCTGGTTCTCCCTGAGAAGATGCTTCCAAGCCGTTGCAGACAGACGGCCCCCACACAAGCTCCTCTTTGTCACCCACTACAATATATATATTTAATATATATACACATACATACACACACACACGCTCACGCAAATGCCAAGTCAGCTACACAGAATCCCTTGTGGTCTTCTGGGTGTGAGTGGCATTTCTAGGTGATGGGCTGGGGGGTGGCGCTGGGGATGGGGGGGGGGGGGCAGTGAAGCCCGCCTACCTGTGCTTGCATAAGCCGGACAATCCTGGCATAGATGAAGGAGGAGGAGAACGGAGCTGAGGAGCGCGGAGGATGGAGAGGCTGGAGCCATCGAGGAAAGCCCGTTCTCTGGGGGTGGGGGTGGGGAGGGGGGGGCACTGTGACCGCTCTCGGGGCATGTCGAGGGGGAGGAAGGCAAGCTGTTTCAAACACTTCATCCACAATTAAGCCCACTTAAAATAGACAGACAACAGGACTCCACTGTGTGTGTGTGTGTGTGTGTGTGTGTTTGTGTGTTTTTTGTGGGCCAAATTCAGCTGTACAGAAATATATGTTAATTATACCATTAAAATAAATAAATAGGCAAACAACAGGACCATAAAAATGGCCAAACAACAAACTTTTCCAGTGTTTTACCAAAGCGTGAGTCATCATGAATGTGAATGTATGCAATTATGAAAACACCGCAGAAAATAGATTTTCTTTGTTTTTGGTGTAGGAGCCTTGAGAATAGAAATCTTATCTGAGGGGTCAGGATATCGGGGGAATGTAAAGCAGCGTTTTCTGTGGTTAAACATTAACTTTAACATTCTGCTTTTTACTGCACTGTGCAAACCGACTGTCAGCGGTCAGCTTCCTGCGTCAGTCGAACGGGTCGGGCATGAAAGTGAGGCTTAAGATTCAGACACAAGTTTTAACCCGTTGGTTATCGCCATCGGTTAACCCAGAGGTCGGCAACCTGCGGCTCGTTTACCACGTGGCTGCAGCTCTTCTCATAACGATAGACGAATTCACATTTTCATGTCTTAACATATTATGATAATACTTTCGTAAAGATAAATTATTTGTTTATGGGTGAATATTATTATTTTTCATTTTGATATTTCTTTAGCTACTGTATACACTCACCTAAAGGATTATTAGGAACACCATACTAATACGGTGTTTGACCCCCTTTCGCCTTCAGAACTGCCTTAATTCTACGTGG